ACGAGCAGTGAAGAGAAATGGCGAAGTTTTTCATCACATTGATGAAGAACTTAAAAGAAATGAAGCATTTGTATTGGATTGTGTTAAAGAAAATGGTTGGATTCTGACGCATGTTTCACAAGAATTGAAAAACAATAGAGATTTCATTAAGAGAGCTGTCAAATATTATGGAAGAGCTGTTACATTTACAAATGAAGAGCTGAGAAATGACAAGTCAATCGTGTTGGATGCAGTTCGGCAAGATGGTTATGTTCTCAGATATTTATCAAATTTAATGCAAAATGACAGGGAGGTAGTTTTGGAATCTGTCAAACAAAATGGAATAGCACTCCAATTTGCATCATTCAAATTGAGAAATGACAAGGAGGTTGTTTCTGAGGCTGTGAAACAAAAACCCTCATCTCTTGAATATGCATCATTTGATCTAAGACACGATCGTGAATTGATTGATTTAGCTTTAGCAATACAACCAATAGTTATATGGGATCAACCAAAAACCTTCAATAATTTCAATACTTTGGCAAGTGATAATCAATTCAGAGTATCATTTTTTGACGAGATGAACGAGAATGATATTGAACTTATGGAACTAATGATGGATATCTCTCTATCTTCAGTCACTGATGAACAAAAGGATGATCGATTCACAATTCTACAAGCTGTCAAAAAGGAAGGACATTACTTAATGTTTGCTTCTGACAGATTGAAGAATGACAAAGAGATTGTACTAGAGGCAGTTAAACAAAATCCATGGGCATTTAAATATGCATCTGTAGCCCTTCAGAAAGACAATGAAATTATTTTGGAAGCTCTCAAAAAGAATGGCAGTTTGTTAAAATTCTGTTCCTTTGAAGTGAGGAATGATAAGGAATTGGTAATGGTGGCTGTAAAACAGGATGGCTCTGCTCTCAAATATGCATCAGATAGGTTGAAAGTTGATAAGAAAATAGTATTGGAAGCTCTGAAACAAACTGACAAGGCACTAGAATTTGCAAACATTCAAGACTTGCTGAAGAATGACTTTGAATTCAAGATGGAATTGGTACGGGAAGTTGGATATTCAGAAGTCTATTCAGATGATTTCTACCTGATAAGAATGAATTATTTAGGAGTTTATGCTGATAGAATTTCTAAACTTTAAGGTAAGGCCTGTTTACCTTAATTCTAATAGTAATATTGAAAGCTACCGTTCCCGTTACTGTGAAGATTACACACAAACTCAACTTGAACAGGTGTTCCAGGATATCATTG